CTGCTTGGGATATTAGATTTAAACTAAGTGATTAATGTTAATGTAAAGATCTGCCCACCAATCTGCTACAATTAGGGTTTATCATATGTGTTTTTTAAACTTTTTATTTCCATTTTCTTTTTTTGGTGGAACCAGGGATTGAACTCAGGCCCTTGCTCTTGCCAGGGAAGCACTTATTCTGCTGAACCATCTCCCTGGCCCCTAAACTTATTATTATCATAAATATTTCTTTACTGTACTGGGAATTGGACCCAGGGCCTTTATGGGGTGCTACAGCCTCAGCTCCACCTTTATATTTTTGAGACAGGTTCTTGTGAAATTGCTGCATTACTCAGATGGGTTTTAGATTTATGATCCTCTGTCTCAGCTTCCCAATGTGAAGTTCTACCCCTTAAGGTATGGATTTCTTTCTTTCTTTCTTTCTTTCTTTCTTTCTTTCTTTCTTTCTTTCTTTCTTTCTTCTTTCTTGTACTGGGTATCGAACTCAGGACTTTGTGTTTGCCAGGCACCACTTAAGCCATTGAGCCATCTCCCCAGCAAGTTCTACCCTTTAAACTGCTGCTCATTTTAAATATTTAAAACTCTTCTGTCTTAAGTCTCTAGTAGGCAAGTTACCTCAAATTAGTTTTAGTTCAAGACTGACGTGTACAGCACAGCAATTTTACATGTTGTAAAGTAGGAAAAATGAAAATTAGTATTGGCTGTCCTTCGTGAATGTGTATATTATTAAAGTTTTGAAACAGTTGCGCTTTTAGCAGTAAAAATGTTTTTTCTTTTGTGTGGGTAGCAAAAACACTAACTTTAGCTCAGCCTATGTGAGTTACAATAGGTTCTAAATTTAATTTTTACTATAACTTTATCATTCTATTGGTTAACTACTGATCAAAAAACAAAAGCCTTTCAGTCATCTTATTGTTTTGAATAGTGTAAACCAATGAAACACATTTTCTTATCATAAAAAGAACATTGTACAAACATTTGAAATTTTGAAGTCCACACAAAACTCATTCTAGCTTTTGAAAAAAGCCATGGCTCCTTCTTTCTACTACTTTTGTGAGAAGACCTTAACCTTAAGAATGCAAAGAGATGAAATAGAGATGAAATTTCCTGCTCTCCTAATGACTGGGGGCTGAGTGTTTAAGTGACTCTTTCCGTCCCTCAGGGTGATTGCTATAGGTCAGATTTGAGGTCACTGGCTGGAAAGTTACAAACAAAGTCATAGTTTTGGCCAAGGAATAGTAAACTTGGACTCCAGACAAAGTCAAAGCTTCCCCAGTGATGAAAGGAAAAAAAAAAGTCAATCCTCTCCTTTGAACACAAACACTGGCTATAGTCAACCACTGGGTGGGTAGTGTGAGAACAATGAATGAGTGTAGCTTGGGTATCTATTAGTCAGAGTGACTTTACAACATTTAAAAATAAAATATTTGAACATAACATCATTAAGCCTTTTGCTGTCTTGGGAAGCTGCATGTGTATTTTTCTTAAACCAAAGGCTGAAAGTTCATAGTTATTCGTCTCTCCTTTATAATATCTAAATCATTATTATTGAACAGAGATTTTTTTTTTTTTTTTTTTTTTTTTTTTTAACCAGGGATCGAACTCAGGACCTCACACTTGCCAGGCAGGCGCTTATGCCATGGAGTATAAGCTCAGAGATTTCCTACCTCAGAGATTTTTTCAAATAACACATTTTGTATTTACCATCTTATAAAATTCTCCTGGTCCTAATTATTTTAGAATTCACCTTTGTATTTATATTTCTCCTTAGAGTTAGATAATTATTTGAGAACAGAAGTAATGTGAATGCTCATGATTTGGCTGAGAGCTAGGTACTTATGACAGTGTGTGTGTTGGGTGGGGGTCTGGAGCAACTTGAGACAACTGTGTCGATGACCTCTTCTTTTTTTTAGATGATGACCACTTCTTGGAATTAATATTACTTCTTAGGCAGACTTTGGCAGAACTCAATTAGCATTTCCTGCAATAGCTCCTCTTCAGAGTTTGAAAAGTAAATAGTTAACAGTAATATCTGGCTAGTGTGAATTATTTTATTTTTTGAGACAGGGTCTCTTTAAGCAGTTCAGGCTGACCTGGTGCCCACTTTTGTAGCCCCAGGCTGATCTCAAGCTTGCAGCAATCCTCCTGTCTCTACGTCCTGAGTGCTGGGATTACAGGTGTGTGCCACCATGCCTGGTTCCTCAATTATTTTGCTGCTCATAGCTGCTCTTCAAATTTCTGGATACTATTTGTTATGGTCAGATCATGAATGGTCTCCCAAATTATGTACTTAGAAGTAGGGCTTCTGGAGGGTAGTTGGACCACGGGGACACTGTTGAGTTCATCTACCTCGGGGTTCAGCCACTGTGTGCTGTTGGGATGTGGGATGGGTCACTGGGGCTGACCTGGAAGGGCACAACTCCCCCAGTGGCTCCTCCCTTTTCTCTCTGCTTCCTGGGTGCCATGCCATGAGCTTCCCTCCACCAGACCCTTCTTCCACATGGGTTTCTACTTCAGAGGCAGCTGAGCATAGACTGAAATTTCTGAACCTGAGTCAAAATAAGGGTCTCCTCCTTTAAATTGTGGGTGTTGGGTATTTTGTCCCAGCAAGTGACTAAGGCAATACTGTTACAACATATCATGACTTAGATTTTATTCCCCAGCAATTGGAATGTTCAGGTTTCATAACTCAGAGTTGGAGCCCTGTGGTAGCAGGAAGTATTCTCAGCTACAGGAACATCTGGAAATGAGGTAATTAATTCAGCTGATTTTCAGTGAAGATGAAAGTCCTTTCTGAAGACACAGGTCAGAATTTATGGGACTCATGACATACTATCCCACTTGTATGGGTATCTGAGAAAACAGCAGAAGCAGAAAACTCACACTCACCTTCCTCCAGGGCTCCCTGAAGCAGGTACAAGACCCTCATTGGAAAGGTGCCCTTTCTATGCAGGGAGGAAGGGCTTAGTCCCTGTTATCTCTGATGACAGGAACTCAGAGTCTGAACAAAGATGACCTCACCTTTATTGCCTTTCAATTGTACTCCCTGTGTCTAATCATTATTTACAACTGTCTACTTCTTTATCTGACTTAGCATGAAAAATATACAGCCTTCCACATTTCTTCAGTTTTTCTCTCATCTCTTATGTTACATAATGCTTACGTTACATAAATTCATGTTTTTCTTTCACTGATCTCTGCATTTTCCAAAGCAAGTAGTTACATAAAGGGAAACCTTTCCTTTCAGCCACCTGGTGGGCTTCCTCTCCATGTAAGTTTCTTTTTTTTTTTCCTTTTCTTTTTTTTTTTTTTTTTTTTTTTGGTGGAACAGGGTTTGAACTCAGGCCCTTGTGCTTGCCAGGCAAGCACATAATCTACTGAGCCATCTCCTCGCTGGCTCCCTCTCTGGACTTCCATTTGTTGACAATCTACTTCAGGCAAAGCCCTTTCATAGAGGCTTCAGCCATGAGCCTACCAAGGGAAAGGAATCAATATTTTTGCTCCCCTCAGAATACATACCAGCCTGGAGAAAAGAGTAGGCTTGGTCCCTAAAAATGTACTCAGACTGTCTCCCTCTAAAGGACAAATCCACTTAATCATTTGCGTTAATCATATTTACAGAAGAACTTCTGGTCTCAAAACTTGTCTACATCTGCTACCTCTTCCCTGAGTCTTCCCAGGGAAGAGGTCAAAGCACTTAGTCTTACTGGGCCTTGCCACTTTCTACTAGTTTTCTGTCATTCACACTCCCAGTCTTATCTCCCTCTCTGTATCAGGGAAGACAGCATCTGAGTTACCACCTCAGCGCAGCACTAACCAGTGCTTTGCACACAGTAGGCTCAATATATGGAAATTCTCTGCAAGGATATTTTGCTCATCAGTAACTGTTATAGACTACTGAAAGTACCTGTTATAGTTTATTGAAAGTCATAAAAATGCAATTTACTTCCATATTGTAGTTTGGGCATTTCAGAAAATCATACTCTCTTCAGGAAGTGTGTAACAATTTAGCTAGGGCAAGCCCCAGCTCCGGGTTTAAAGACTTTAATCCGCTTCCACCACAAGGGCTAAGGCGGCCTTTGGCTCTCTGGGTTGTCTCAAGGAAGTTGCTGCATAAAGGGAAGCCTCTCCTCTCCACCCGGTGGGCTCCTTGCATTGACTTCTTTTTCTCCTTTTTGGTATTCTACATCAGGCTCAGCGAGTTCTCTAATTGTACTGTTTGCGCCCCACGAATAGCTCTCATTCTTTGGGTGACTCTGGAGATTTTCAAAATCGGGCAGCGGAATCCTGCCTTGCTTCCTATCCTTTTGCTTCCGTGGACTCCTAACAGTATGGGTTTCTAAACAGTTTCTCTGCTTTGAAGTGCCTGGAAGGAAAACATAGGGGTCAGAAAGTGGCATTTAAACTTGTAAGAGTAGAACCGCTGCTGGCAGCAGGGCAGGAACTCCACAGTGCGGGGACCAGCGGGGCTGTGGTGGCGGGATCTGCACATCTGGGCAATCGCGGGCGCACAGCCGAGGGGCTCAGGGCCAGGCCCGCGCCCGCTGCCGAGGTACTGCACCCCGGCCGGGGTCGCGCGTGCGTGCTGGGACCGGGCCGCAGCCTGCCAGCACCCCCAACCGCGGGCGCGTGGGGG